GAAAACCCCTCCCTCGCTCCCGAAAACCGCCGCACAACCCTCCCCCTTCCCTCAAAACTCACCCTTTCCCTTTACCCACCCCCGAAAACCCCTCCCACACCCCTGTTTTCTCCGCCACTCCCCTCCCCCCCGCCGTTTAAAGTCCCCTTCCCTTTCGTTTCCGACCCGAATCCCCTTCCCCTTCGTTTTCGCCGTTTCCCCCTCTCCGTCGTTTTCGCCCCGTTCCCCTTCGTTTCCGACCCAAATCCGGCCTCCCTTCCTTTATCCTCCCCCAATCCCGCTGCCATTAACGGTGGCTGCCGTTAAGGGGTGGTGTAGGGAATATTTCAAGCAATACCCCAAACTTGAACCCCACTGTGATCACACACTAAAGTACGGTCCAAAGGGAAAGAAGATAGAGCAAAAGAGTCGCCAACAAGTTTTAGGAACTTGTAAACCGTTCACGAGGTGAAGGTTACACCCCTTAATAATCCAAGAGATTGTTAACTCCAATAAGTCTGGAACCATGACTGGTAGTTCGGGGATGAAGGTACAAATCCAACCTAAAAGAGATTGAACCTGCCCTAATAATAGTACTCTACTTTATTCTGATCGTATTCCTGTGCGCTTTCTGACTAACATGCAATCAATAGGATTAACCCTAAACCTGTTTAATCTATGTTGGTTGAATATTAATTCACAACTAAAACTACTATTGGCGATCACTTGAATTATAATCATATTAACCCTAAACAAGATTATTAATTATCTTATAAAGCGTGATTAAAAGTACGGATTCCCTTTAAACATGCATAAAAGGTGTGATCAAGCAATAACAATAATAATCATCGAACAACATAGTAATAATCATAAAAACAATTACAATTACAATTACAATAATAATCATCATAATCATGATCATAATCATCATAATAATTATAATCATAATATTCATGTTAAAGAATAATAATAGCAAGATTCTAAGCATGATACTAACAAGATTAGTAACAAACCCTACCTTGTCACTAAACAATAAAAATCAAAGCTTTAATTTAGCCCTAACATGATACTAACATGATATCAAGAAAGACAATAAAAGGCATCATATATAGAAATCATAATTGATCTAAGGAACTTATTCTTTACCCTAAACATGATACTAAGAAGATCAAAACGCCCTAACATGACACTAGGAATCAAAATAGGAACCTAGACATGATTTCTAAATCATAATATCAACAAATCAATTTAAAGTACTTACTTAGATGCCTCGTATCTCTTTTTAATAACAAAATACAGGCGTTAGTAACTTCAAGGAAAATAATAAAATTAAAGAATTAAATTAAATAATTGAAATAGAGATTTGGGACCAAACCCTCAGAAATTAAAACCTTTCACGTTTAGGGAGAAGACAACTTCGAATAATGCTAGGTGTGTGTAGATCTTGTGAATGCGGAATTTTGTATGCAAAAGGCTAGTTTAGAAAAAAGAAAGAGAGAGAGAGTAATCAAGAGATTCTTGATGAGAATTGGAGAGAGAGAGAGAGAATTGAGAATTGATTGTTGTTGATAGAAACTGATGATTGAAAATGGAGGTTTTAGGAGGCTATTTATAGAGAAAATCAGCCGGATGTGATAAAAAACAAATCAGAGTTTCGAAGAGAATAAAACAAATTGGCGTCAGACGCCAAGCTTGACGCCAGGCGCTGGTCCTGACGTTAGACGCTAGAAAACAGTTTCCACGCGCTTTCTTAATTTGATAAATTTTAGCCGTACAGAAGGAAAAAATCGTATTTTCCTTAAAAACACTTCTTTTATTCTGATAAAAACTCTAAAAAGTCAACTAAAGTCAATTTATTAATGCTAATTAAATTAGGATGAAAAGAACCTTTTAGAAGAATCTAAAAGACTATAATCAATTCTAATTGTATTAGGAATGATAAATCAATATTAAGCCCTCCTCTTGATCATTGGGCCGTATATAAATATCAAACCGGGTCCAGTTTAGTAATTTGGTCATAACTTCCTTATTATTCATCGGAATCGGGCTTATAATATATTGTTGGAAAGCTCTTTTCGAACCCGACCCAACTACACTACTGTTGGACCCTTGCCATGGACCAAAACAAACTGGATTGACTGTTTTCTTAAATTGGTTTTTAAAAACAAAGAGAAAGAAAAGAATTAAAAACTATCCGCAACACTAGACTTTCCACACTTTCACCTCATTCGATTATAATTCGACGTGAAAATGTACTCATAACTGGGTTTGGTTTTGGGGAGACACAAATGGGTGTCTACAGGTGGCTGCCGTTTTGGTTGGCTGGTTTTTTTTTTTTAATTTTTTTTTAATGTTGTTTTTTTATTTGACCATTCATGTAGTGACACGTGTCCAAAAAAAATCTAACACACAAATGTTGACCGGATTAACCTGTTGCAGGTAAGTTGGGTGCAATAGAAATTAATACCCCCTAAAGTTGGGAATGATAGATGATAATCCAAAGTTGGGATTAATTTGGGCGGACGAGGAAAAGTTCAGATTAATGGGAGAAATTTTTCCTAATTTATAAATACTTCTTTGATTTATAGTAAGAAATAAAAAAGGATACATCAATTTTGTCTTTGAAAACTCAAAATTACCCATACGATCAAAGACCATACAAGAAAACGCGTTTTTAGCGATCAATATTACCGACGGGTGTCAAATCAGTCGGTAAAATGAAATATCAGCGAATGGTTTTAAAAACAGTCGCTTATTACCGTCCGTTTTAAAAATTAGTCATTCGACATAATTTTAATTTATTCATTTGACTAAAGTATTAAACAACTCTTTCATGTGATATTCAATATTTAAATTTTTTTAAAGACATGAAATAAGGAGAAAATAATTAGATTTTGGTAAAAAAATTGTTTACAATTGTTTAGAAATTTTTTAATTAAATGTAATGCTAATTTAATAATGAAAATTAAAATATATCGTGCATGACACGAGACCTAACCTAGTTTAATAAGAAAGTGACACATAGATAATGATAACATCAATGATTGTTACTTTAATTAATTAATTTATAGATTGGACAGATTAGGCCGGGTAAATCTGTACTTTATGGTTATTAATGGATGGTTAAAGATGACGAGCTGGATTATGGAGGGTATTTTCGGCATTTCAGCTATAGTGGGCTTAGGACATTGACTAGGCCCAAACAAAATTATTTTTCTTAGAAAAGGTTTTACGTGAGACTGTTTCACGTAAGTCCGATTTATAATACACACACCCATTCCCCCACCCATTGCCACTGCCACTCCCTAGCCACTTGTCGGCAGCCGGCGACCACCCTCCCCCTCCCATCCCACAGCGCCTGTGACCCTTCCCCACCCATTCCCCGAAGCCAGTGACCCCACCCCCTCTCTCTCCGTGTTTATGGTTGTTTAGTACATTGATGGAATGGGTATTTCTTCAAGAGACTGCAATTGCTTCAACCTCAATTTCTATTGCTTTTGGGGATGTTGGACCTACAAACACAAGAGATAGAGCTACAAAGAAAAATAAAGGGCTAACGCTTGCATCAATGTTGCGGAAGAAAGTGACAACAAAAGATAGATTAGCTTCTAGTTTCAAATATTTTTTTTATTTTTTTTAAACACCCTGTTTCATATATTCTGATCAATGTTGTCTAATATCTGATATTTCTAAACCAATATCTGACTATTATTATAATTTAATATTTGATAATTATAATCTAATTTCTGAAAATTATAATCTAATATCTGATAATTATAATCTAATATCGATCTATTCTAATCTAATTTTTGACAACTAAAACCTAATATCTGATACTTATAATCTAATAACTGATAATTATAATTTAATATTGTAAACACAAATTTTAAATCTGCAAAATATAGATTCAAAACAAATGCAACAAGGTGTTATTTTTATTAATTTGATAATTTTGGGTACAATCTCTAATTTGATCATCTGATTCGATCTCCACTTTGACTTTGACGTAATTCACGAATTGACTTGATTCTCGAACGAGGGCCGTCGAGGCTTGATCTCGATTGAAGATTTGATGCAGAATTTTGACTTTATTGTTGATGTAAACCTTTGACTTGTTGTTGATGTAAACCTTTGACTTGAATTCTTGATTGAGGGTCGACGAGGCTTGATCTCGATCAATGACTATTTGATGTAGAAGTTGAACTGGTATTCTTGATTATTTGAAGTCCTTCTTTCCTTCGTGTTGAGGGCCGTCGAGGCTTGATCTCTTCCACGAGTGATCTTCTAGAGTAGAATGGGACGTCGAATGCTTGTTATTCTTCTTCTAGGTTTTGAGAGGATTTATTTGGAGAAGTTTAGGGTATTTTATGAGTGGTTTTCTCTGGAGAGGTTTAGAGTATTTGATGAGAGGTTTTCTCTGTATTTTGATTCTCTCTGTTTTCTCTCCAGGTTTTCCTCCCCTTTTTTAGGTTTTTCCTCCTCCTCCAAATGAAGTAGAGAGCCTCTATTTATAAAGAGAGACACCCTTAGGGTTAGGGTTTGACATGTATTGGGCTTATGACTTAATTATGACTCATTTACAATAGTTTAACCCATTTTAATAGGTTTTCACTATTAAATAAACAAATTAATTAAAAATAATTAAAATGGGCTAATTTAATTTATTTCACCCAAAATAATTAAGTTTAATTAATAGTCAAATAAATAGGAGTCAATACTTTGACTTTTGACCCATATAATATTTAATGTGGCACTTTTATAAATTTTTTGTGCCTACAAATATCTGACTATTATTATCTAATTTCTGACGTTTTTGATGTAATATCTAATATTTTAAAACTTAAAATCGGACCATTATTATCTGATTTCTAACAACTAAGATTTTTTTTTCTCTTCTTGTATGATTGTACTCACGTGAGTCCATTCTACACAGTACTTTCAATTTTCTTAACTCACTCTTCTTTAACTTACTGTTTTTAGAATTACTCTTGAAATACTAATATTTCTATATGTCACTTCCATATTTTACTTTTACTTCCCTAACTTTAAATGCTATTCTTAGCACCGTGTTTATTTTTTTCACCATATTTGATTTTTGCATATAAAGTAACAAAATCAAAATAATATTTCTAACCAAAAAAAAAAAGGTTAAATTTCTCCACAATAACCAAAGATAAGATCAAATAATGCCTTAAAAAATTCAAAAACACAAGACAGAATCACAGAATGATGGTAGTCTAGAAGATCGGATCGCCAAGTAACCACTTGAGCCAAATTCTCCTATATTAATGCATGATGAAACCACCAAAACCCCATTAATTTAATCATCTCATCTTAAACACATTCAAACACAACAATAATCCCTGAAATTATCTCTCAACAACGAACAGCCATGATAATTCCATTATACAGAGTAGCTGGTCCATCAGAGTACTTAGCCATAACAGGATGGAATGTTGCAGATATCAAACTAGCCAAAAAAGCTCTCATTCTTCCCGGCCAACGCTTCGTTCGTGTCAATGTTTCTCCTGTCAATTACACATTCGAGGTGCAGGCCATGAGCGCAGAGAAGCTCCCTTTCTTGCTGCCTGCTGTGTTCACTATTGGACCTCGTGTCGACTCTGATGATAGTCTTGTGCTTTATGCTAAGCTAATGGCACCCCATGACATGTGTTCTAACCATGTTAATGAACTTGTGCAAGGTATTATTGAAGGCGAGACTCGTGTTCTTGCTGCTTCCATGACTATGGAGGAGATTTTTAGGGGTACTAAAGAGTTTAAGAAGGAAGTTTTTGATAAGGTGCAGTTGGAGTTGAATCAATTTGGACTTGTTATCTATAATGCTAATATTAAACAGCTTGTTGATGTTCGAGGACATGAATATTTTTCATATTTGGGTCAGAAGACTCAGATGGAGGCTGCTAATCAGGCTAAGGTTTTTTTTTTTCTTGGTTCGAATGATTTATTTGATTTCAGATATAGCAACATATGATTATTTATTTGTCCTGGTCGAAATTTTACATCCATTTTTAACTTAATATTCTTGTTAAAAATTGACCTGACTCATGTTTTGGTGATTATTTTTGTATCAAAAATATTGTTTCGATAATTAATGAAGATAAGAGATAATGAGAACATTATTGCAAATAATGGAAAATTCCCTGTTTCACTTATAGGGCATTTTCATGAATAAATTAACAAATTTTCTATAATTATGGGCTCCACAATTGAATAAAGTTTAATAAAGTTTTGTTTATTTACGAAAATGTCATGTGAGAAAGTGAGACATCCTCGCAAGTAATAGGTTTTCTACTGGTATTAATATATCAATAATATCATGTTTATGCATGATTAGGTAAATGGTCCTAAAAAATCTATTAACATGCAGTGTTGTGTATGAACAAGAATTGTTTGGCCTGAATAATGATGTTATAATTATGCCTGCAACAATCATGTTATTATGCTATGACAGAATTTAATCTGCCATTTACATACCATGAAACTTGATTTTAGTATTTTGCTTTAAGGTGGATGTTGCTGAGGCAAAGATGAAGGGGGAGATAGGTGCAAAGCTGAGGCAAGGGCAAACAGCACAGAATGCAGCGAAAATCGATGCAGAAACCATGATCATATCCACACAAAGGGATGGAGAAGGGCAAAAGGAAGAGGTCAAGGTTAAGAGTGAGGTTAAGATATATGAGTACCAGAAGGAGGCTGATGTTGCAAAAGCCAGTGCCGAGTTGGCTGCACAAAAGGCCGGGTGGGAAAAGGCAGCCCAGTTGGCGAAAGTCGAGGCTAAGCAGGCAGTTTCCATTCGAGAGGCTGAGCTGCAGGTTGAGGTTGAGAAGAAGAATGCTCTCACTAGGACTGAAAAACTCAGGGCAGAACTCCTTAGTGAGGCTACCGTTGAGTATGACATTAAGGTATTAATTTTGTTAAACTTTAAATGACATCTTTCTGTTTTTTGTAATGATATTTACTACTATGAATTAGTTGACACAAGTTCAGAATGCGTGCACTGCTATCTCCTACAAATTAACTTACACAGTTCTTTATATTTTGTTCATAAATTTATTTTATATACTTAATTTATGTGCATAAATGACATAATCTATTACTCTGTATTATTTTAATTAGTTGCCTTAAAATCCATTTAAGGGACGGGCTATATATAAGAGAAAAGCATTACACGGACTTAATAAATTTCATTGTATTTATATACTTCGTATCATACATAATTACTAAAATAAGGTTCATTGCATGTATTTATATGAATTATACGGAGTATCATTTAACTTGTACATACTTGTAAATATATGTGCACAATATTAATAATCTTACTACTACTAATTAAATTATAGTACGTATTGTTATACTTATAACAATTGAAAAACCATATGCAAAATTACAAAACAACTTTTTTTTTAGCACCAAGTTTCAAATTTATATTCCGTATCATCAAATAAAAATTCTCAAATTAAACTACTTGTAGTATACTTTGTATAGTCTAACATAACAACACTTGAAGAAATTATTTGATTTTAGAAATTAAAATAACTACCATGAGAGGAGTTATCTTTCTAAATTTATGGAAAAGTTAAAAATGAAAGTTATTTTTCAAAGTAATTAAAATTTTAATTTTTTAAATAGTTATAATAAATTATTTAGAGGGTAAAATGGTCCATTAAAAATTCCCAACCAAAAACCCCTCTTCTCTTTATATACTACGTATTACATAGATTCAATTTTTTGGTTAACAGGTCCAAGAAGCTAACCGAAACCTATACAACAACCAAAGAGAAGCGGATGCAAATCTGTATGAAAAGCAAAAGGAAGCTGAGGCAGAGAAGGCAACAGCAGATGCTGCATTCTACTCTCGCCAGCAAGCAGCTGATGCAGACCTCTATGGCAAGAAGAAAGAGGCTGAGGGAATTGTGGCCCTTGCTCAAGCCCAAGGATTTTACATTAGTACCCTACTTAAGGCTCTTGATGGTAATTATGCTGCATTAAGGGACTACATGATGATCAATTCTGGAACGTTTCAAGAGATGGCGAGAATTAATGCTGAAGCTATTAAGGGTTTGCAACCAAAGATCAGTATCTGGTCTGGTGGGGCAACCTTGGAGGGCAGAAATGGGTCTGGTGGATCAATGAAAGATGTGGCCGAGGTCTATAGCATGCTGCCTCCTCTTTTAAAGACGGTACATGAACAGACTGGGATGCTGCCACCTACTTGGCTTGCCACTCTAACTGATGCTGAAGGAAAAGGTTATGTTGCTGTAGTTGACAAGTGAACTATTGAACTGGCTTATGATTGGGTTCTTGAACATCACATCATTTTGCTAGTCTAGTTTCTTGTTAATATGCTGCTAAACTTGGACTAATATTTCTAAGAATAATTTGCTTGTTTTGATATTATGGTCCTACAATTTTTGCTCTTTATTTAATTTTTTTTTGTTGCCAATTTATTCCGAGGGCTGCCCAGTTGATCTTTATGATTGATTTAGTTTGTCAATCTTATTTGCCAAGTCAACCCTCGTCATTAGGTTGTGATGAGTCAGTAAACCAACGCAGCAGTACTCATTTATATATAATGAGTCAGTTGATGACAGTGCTCACGGAAGGCCCAAATGGTGTTAACATCGCAAGCTGAAATGTTAACGCGGTTGATTGTGTTTCTTGATGGAGAAGCTGGATATTGAATTCGTTATTTTCTTGTGTGGTTGGTAGGTTTATTGTATAGCTATATAAAACATTTCTTGGGTAAGAAGATTTAACCAAAAAAAAAAAAAAAAAAAAATGTTTTTACATATAATTTTTATTTCAAAAATAAATCTTAGCATAGTGATACCTCCATGAAGTTGTAGTTTTAGATCTCAAGTATGGTTTGAACCAAAGATCGGATCCGTTCATGGTGAAGGCAAGGTTTTATGGCGTATTGATTTCATCCTTATGGTATGCGCATAGACATGACTACTATAGCACGATTAAGTGTGAAATTGAAATCGAAAGAATAATAGATTGGAGGGAGGAAGATGCAGAATTGGAAATTGTTCTGTGTATGGAATTGAAGTCGAAAGAATGACGACATTAGAAACGGTGAATGTAGTTGAGTCGATTGGGAAATGGTGGATGAGCAGTCCGTGTAATCCATGTCATCGTGTACGTGGACTGAGGTACAGGTCAGTGAGTACTAAAGACCGTGAATTTCCAAGGTTATCCTTCAGTAAGTGATGCGAAAAGACAGAAATGACCCTAGATTGACGAGTTATAGCAATCATAAAGATAAACTGGGAATTTGCCATTTATTCCTTCAGTACAGTTGCATGCATGGTGAATGTCAAATGACAAATGTGCTTGGATTTCTTGCAGTATGTTGTCTGTGATCACAGTTTGCGGTTTGCCAAAGATGAAGGCTATACATATAGACTTGTTTTGTGGTGGCGTACACAAAAATATAATCCAAAAAGAAGAATGATTATAGGTTTAAACATCAACAATAATGTTCTTTTTAAAAAAAAAAAAAAAAAAAAAAAAAAACTGCCCGCCATAATCAAAACGCATACATTTAGAAACTAGCAAATTATTGAATATGGATATATGCAGGTACATGTAGAAACTAGCAAATTATTGAATACGGATGCTATTCATTAATCTCTCTTTAGAAACTAGTCTAGAAATATTACTTGCGTGCATGGACTTTCACAACTTTATACAGCTTCTTCAAGTTGATTATCAATAAAATACTCGCATTCTGAGCATCATAAGCAACTGGTACTAGGCTCTTAAGCAGCAGGCCATTCTTCGGTGGTGGCAGAGATTTCCTAGGCTGACATCTCCTATTAATTAATCACTCTTTAACTGCTCGCCTCAGCTCTACGTACTATAGGTAATGGAAAAGGTTTCTTTTCCTTCTTTGAGTTATCTTTAGGAAAAAGAGCATTTTAGGGATAAATAATTACAAAAATGCATGTAGAATGTAGAATGTATAATGCAGTGTGATTAGAAACCACACAGCACCATTGGATCATGAACTAAATTATTAATTCTAGATTACCTGGTGTTGACAGGGTAAAATCGTATCTCCTAATCAAAAGTATTACCTAAGTCCTCTAACTAATGCAGATAGGAAAGTAGGGTCGAATCCACAGGGAAACAAGTCTTTCTACTCCTAATTAATTATTATAATCTAAATTATCAAGGTAACCAATGTTGTTGTAATTAAAGACCATGCTACGAAGAATATAATCAGGGAAAATAAAGTAGGGAGAAATTAAATATTAAAAGGCCTAGGGCATAGGTTCACTAATAAACAATATTCCAGGGTAAATCATAATAAGAAATCATCAAGCATCAATTAATCAGATTATAAAGGGCTTTCGCTACGTATTATAATCACGGAGTTAATTTACCGGTATTAAATCTCATCTGTCGAATCTCGACTTAACCATTTATAAATTAGTCCGCCTATTGAAACTAAGCCTAAACACCAATTCTCATCTGTCGAATCTCGAATTAATATTGCTAAACTCATACAATTAAATCTGGCCAAACCTAATTGCATAGCATTAAATCAATCAATAGAAAATTAACCAAGCATTGATAATTGTAGGCGTCGCTCGAAGTGCGCCTACGTTAAAAGCATGTGGTGAATATGCTTGGCACTCATAGGAAGTAGGAATTGACATAATATGATTAGGGACAAGGAAAGTAGGGAACCGCCAACAAATTTTTAAGGAACTTGTAAACCGTTCACGGATCATAAAAAGGCAACCACGATAAGGGACAACGATAGGCAACAACGATTGGCCCGTGAAGGTTACACCCCATTCATAATCCATGAGATTACTAACTCCATATGGTTCGGAACCAGGAAAGGAGGATCGGGGATGATGGTACGAAGTGAGTCATGGAGTCACATTCGCCCGTATTGGCCTCTACTCGATTCTTAGATTGAAAAGCATTCCTGTGATCTCAAAGGCATACAAACAATAATTCAATTTGCTCCAAACTATTATTTAACTAAATTGGTTTAAGATTAATGCACACATAATTCTAAAAATTTAGTGATCACTTCAATTAATAATAAGATTAAAAAGGATCCTAAACCGGTTGTCCAAATTATCTTATTAGGCGTGATTTTCAATTACATATTCCCTTTAAACATGCAATATGGTGATCATAAAAAAAATAATAGAACAACATTAATATTAAAACCAATTTAATCACAATTCCAACAACATAAAAATCGTTAGAAAAATAATAATAAAAATAGCATGATCCTTACTTTGAATCTGTTTGCTTGCAACTACACAATAATAAATGAGTTAGTAACTTCAAGGAAATAATAAAATAATAACTAAATTAAATTAAATAAAATAAGGTGGATTTTGGGGCCAAACCCTCAAACGACTCTACCTTTCACGCCTTGGCTTAAGGACAGAACCTCGAGTAAAATATGGACTCCTTTGAGTGTTTGAAGAAAGGAATTTTGAAGTAAAAAGGGTAGGCTAGTGTTTAGATTAATAGCATAGAAGAGAGAAAATAAGAATCATAAAATTCTGGTTACCCCGTACATCAGAAATGAGGGGGTATATATAGGGAAAATGTGCTGAGGGAGCACACGGAACCCTAAATTGATAAAAACCCTAAAAAAGTATCTCGTGACACGGTCAGACTGTACCGTCAGACGGTACACTTTCCCGTGACACGGTACAGTTTTGGAGTGACGCGGGAAATTTTCTGAAAACGGAATGAAAAACGCGTTAAGGGTTTACGCGGAAAGGACACGGAACGTCCCGTGTCACGGCAGACCTCCCGTGTCACAGGAAATCCCACCGTCAGACGGGAAGGGTTCCCGTGACACGGTTAGACTGTACCGTGACACGGTCACTTCTAGTCCATTTTTCCGTCTAAATTCATTTTTAACCCTAATTTTTTTCGGCTTTTTAAGTGCCGATTGATAATTTCGGGCTTTTTTCTGACTTTTATTACTCGGGCTAAAATAAGAAAATAATAAAATAAAAATAAATAAAATGTTAGGGCCAAAAATATATAATAAAATAATAAAATAAAAAGGTTTGGGCTTAAAATTAATTAATAAGCTTGGGCTAAAATTAAAACTATGCTTTTACCAAACATCAAGACTAATCCATGGACCTTTCAAAGGTATGAATTTAATAAAATACAATTTTTTAAGCACTCTCGGGATTAAATAGAGGCGGTGAAAGGTTATTTATCATCGGGTTTGGTTTTGGGGAGACATTTTTAGGTGTCTACAGAAGCCCCCACTTTGACTGAGTTTGTAGAAACGTTAGTTTCGAAAACAATAGTCAAAGTAGTCGATAGGGACGGAGAATGATTTAAGACGTTCTGCGATCCTAAATCATTCTGTATACGCCGATACCTGCAGAAAAATGTTAATTCCACAGATAAAAGAGTAACGGGATAGAATACGTATCTGGCACCAGTGTGCCGGTGACAAACGAATTTGGCAGCTTCCTAAGCTTGAAGGAATCTACCGAGTGACATTGGTTGAAACGCTTTCCATGCTTGAGGAAAGCCGACTGAAGAGTTTGGCAGTTTTCTAAGCCTGAAGAAAGCTACCGGATAATACCTTCCATGCCTGAGGAAAGTCGACGAACGATTTGGTGTCATTCTATGCTTGAAGAATTCCACCGATAATGCCTTCCATACTTGAGGAAAGCCGACAAAGGAATTTTGTGGTTTTCTATACTTGAAGAAAAATCCACTGATGATGCTTTCCATGCCTGAGGAAAGCCGACTTGGCGGTTTTCTATACTTGAAGAAAAATCCACCGATAACGCTTTCCAAGCTTGAGGAAAGCCGACTTGGCGGTTTTCTATACTTGAAGAAAAATCCACTGATAACGCTTTCAAGCCTGAGGAAAGCCGACTGATGAATATGGTGTCATTCTATGCTTGAAGAATTCCACCGATAATGCCTTCCATGCTTGAGGAAAGCCGATTTGGCGGTTTTCTATACTTGAAGAAAAATCCACCGGATAATACTTTCCATGCTTGAGGAAAGTAGAAAGATGATGAGATTGCAAGTCTCTGTGTATCGAGAACCTTGCGTCATGAAATGATGGTGGTCCGCTTATCCCCGGACGTGGGCTGTAGATGGTCCACTTGTCCCCGGACGTGGGGTGTAGATGGTCCGCTTGTCCCCGGACGTGGGCTGTAGATGGTCCGCTTGTCCCCGGACTTGGGCTGTAAATGGTCCGTTTGTCCCCGGACGTGGGCTGTAGATAAAACCTGCAAAAATAAATTTGCCAATGGACTTGTATATACTGTGATTGACTTGACCACTAACTTGACCAAGTTTGACTTGATGTGACATGACATGTGTATGACTTGTGAGTGTGTGTGTGTATATGTGTGTGTGCAGACACAAGCAAACGAAGATGCAAAAGCAAAAATTTTCCGTCAATTTTTGTCATAAGTGGAGGGTACCGACTTTCTCCCGAAAAAGAAAGATGTGAAAACTGAACTTTTATTTTCGAACTTCCTTCCAAAAGAAAAGACGTGAAAAAAGGAAAGAATTTTTGAGCTTCCTCCTTGAGCAAGACGAAATGAATCGTATGGATTGAATTGCTTGTCCTGAAAATAATGTATGCATGATGCATGTTCTTAGG